TTGTTTCGCTTTGTACAGAAAAATGTTTAATACAGACATTGTAGAGAATTCAACGGGGTATATTTTGAGTGTAATCTCAACTCTCCACGATCAAAGCTAAACGAGATATTCACGAAATACAAAATGTGCCATTATTTCTGACACACCCGTTAATAGTGCGAGATTTTTCATACATAATTTCATTATAAAATAATATTCTTTAAGAACGTACCTTATCGGCAAGTGGATCAATTCCAATAACTCTGGCTTTGACTAAAGCATATCCTAAATGTTTTGTTTCAATAATATTATTTGGATGTATTTGAATGATATTTGTATCATTTGTTGACCATTCTACTGTTGTTCCAGATAATTGAGGACCACCAAGAATCGTCAATTGATAAGTTGATAATGGTAGTAATGATAAGGATTTTGGTTCAATTGTTAACGGTTGAAATACTTCAAATTCAATTTGTGAACTTTCACGTTGCTGTTGTCGTTGTTTCGAATAAAAATGTAAATATGTTCGTCCACAATCAATTGTTTTTAAACGATAAGCAATAGTATAAGAATTTAAATTTGATTTTGGTTCATATTCAATAGATAATAAAGGATTTGATTGATTCACATGAATATTCATTAATTGAACTGTACTCTCATCTAAAAGAAAGATGAAATAAAATAAAAAATTAACTCTTTTTTGGTTCATTTTAAACAGAAATAATTCAATTACCTAGATCAAAATGATTTCCATTTGAATCGTATGCTTGTAAATATAATAATGATGTTTTATTATATTCTAATCGACTTGATAATGGTAAACATTGATCAATAACAATTAATTTTGTATTTCCTCGTCTAATTGGTTTCAAAATTATTTGTCTAGAATTTGTTTGTCCAACAGACATTTTAATATATTCTTCATTCTCTTTTTCACTTGTTAACTTAAAATATCCACTACCACCGAGAATATTTAAATGAGAATCAGTTAATTTATCATTCATATAAAGTAATTTAATACCGTCATTTTCATGATCAAATTCAATTCCTTTAACAAATTCAATATTTAATTGTTCATCAATTGAAAATGATTTTAATCGACATTTTAATATTAAATTACCCACTAATTTCATTGGAATAATTTCAATATAGGAAATATCCGAATCATCATTTTCATTTATTTTATGTTCTAATTGACCATGATCGTGTTTAAATTTAGCTAATTTTTCATCTGATAATGAACAATCAACATGCAAAGATGTAAAATTATCAAATGAAGTACGTCGATCATCATAGGCAATAACCTAAAAAACAGAGAAGATATTTGATTCATCTAAATAATAGAGTTATACGAAATAGATGTGAGTGAGTGTATAAAGTGACTCCTCGTATGCAGACATAACACGAGGATAAAAAGATGGCGTCGATGATAGAAAAGAAAAA